GTTGAACCTCATCCCATTGGCTTCAGCCCAGCTATCCAGCCTGTCCAGATCCCTCTGTAGGGCTTCACTACTCCCAGGCAGATCGACACTTCCAGCCAACTTGGTGTCATCTGAAAACTTGCTGAGGGTGCACTCAATGCCCTCATCCAGGTCATCAATAAAGATATAGAAGAGGACAGGCCTCAGCACCGAACCCTGGGGAACACCACTCATGACCAGTTGTCAGCTGCATTTAGCTCCATTCACTACCACTCTCTGCGCCCAGCCTTCCAGCCAGTTCCTTACCTAGTCAGGAGTGTACCTATCCAAGCCACGGGCTGCCAGCTTCTGCAGGAGAATAGTGTGGGAGAGAGTGTCACACACTGCTTGAAATGAGGCCTCACTAATGCTGAGTACAGGGGCAGGATGACTTCCCTAGTCCTGCTCACCACACCATTCCTGATTCAAGGCAGGATGCCATTGGCCTTCTTGGCTACCTGGGCACACTGCTGGCTCATATTCAGCTGACTGTCCATCAGAACACCAAGGTCCCTTTCCATCAGGCAGTTTTCCAGCCACTCTTTCCCAAGCCTGTAGGGTTGCCTACGGTTGTTAGGACCAAAATGCAGGACCTGACGCTTGGCTCTATTGAAACCCATACAGTTTACTTTGGCCCATCCATTCAGTCTAGCCAGGTCCCTCTGTAGTGCCTTTCTCCCCTCAGGCAAATCAATACTCCCTCCCAACTTGGTGTCGTCTGCAAACTTACTGAGGGAGAACTCAATCCCCTCACCAAGGTTGTTAATAAAGATGTTAAGTAGAAGAGGCCCCAGTACTGAGCCCTGAGGGACACTGCTCATGATCAGCCGCCAACTGAATTTAACTCCATTGACCACAACTCTTTGGGTCCGGCCATCCAACCAGTGTTTCACCCAGCAGTGCATACACCCATCCAAACCATGGACAGCTTCTCCACAAGAATGTTGTGGGGGACAGTGTCAAAGCCTTAACTGAAGTCCAGATAGACCACACTGACAGCCTTACCCTCATCCACTAAGCGGGTCAGGTTTGTCAGACAGGACCTACTGTTCATAAACACATACTGACTGGGCCTGATCCCTTGGTTGACCTTTAGCTGTTCCCTGATTGCTCCCAAGATTTTTCCATTCCATAATTTTTCCCAGCACCGAGGTGAAACTGATAGGTCTGTAGCTACCAGGATCATCTCTTCAGCCCTTTTTGAAGATGGGCGTCACATTTGTCAGTCTCCAGTCCACCAGGACATCCCCAGTTATTGAGGACTGCTGAAGAATGATGGAGAGTGGCTTGGCAACCACATCCGTCAACTCCCTTAACAGTCTAGGATGCAAACCATCCGACCCCATGGACTTGTGAGTATCCAGCTTTCAGAGCAGATCCAAAACCATTTCATCATGGATCGTGCAGGGCCTATTCTGTTCCCCATCCCTATCTACCAGCACAGGGGGCTGTGTTTCCAGGGAGTAACAAGTCTTACTATTAAAGTCTGAGGCAAAAATGGCATTAAGTACCTCAGCCTTCTCCTGATCCTTGGTCACCAAGTTGCCCTCGGTGTCCAACAAGATATGAAGATTCTCCCTAGCCCTCCTCTTACTGCTGATGTATTTAAAGAAATATTTCTTGTTGTCCTTTACCTTAGTGGCCAAGTTTAGATCTAGCTGGGCTTTGGCTTTTCTAATTTTCTTCCTGCACAGCTACACTACATACAAATTACCATCATACGTAGCTCACCCACTCTTCCACAGACCATGAACTTTCCTTTTGCTCTTGAGTTCCAGCCGGAGAACTCTGTTCAGCCAGTCCGGCCTCCTTGCCTGTTGGCTCATATTCCGTGACTTAGGGATGGTCAGCTTCTGCACCTTTAAAATTACTTCCTTAAAGTATTCCCAGTCTTCCTGGGCTCCCATGCTCTCCAAAACTACCTTCCAAGGAACCCTCTCAACCATGGTCCTAAAGGGGTGAAAGTCTGCCCTCCCGAAGTCCAAGGTGGCAGTTCAGCTGACTCCTGTCCATGGTTCAACATGGATCAAGAAATCTAGCATCTCGTGATCACTATGTCCCAGATAGCCTCCAACCTTTACATCCCCTACGAGACCTTCTCTGTTAACAAACAGCAGACTCAGGATTTTGCTTCCCCTTGTTGGCTCCTTCACCAGCTGTATCAGGAAGTTATCTTCCACACACTCTAGGGACCTACGGGACTGTTCCCTATCTGTTATATTATAAATCCCCCACAAGAACAATGGTGAGAGATCTAGAGATCTCACCCAACTGTCTATAAAGTGTCTTGTCCACCTCTTCATCCTGGTTGGGTGGCCTGTAGCAGATTTCTATGATAATATCAGTCTTATTGGCCTTCACTTTTATTCTGACATATAAGCTCTCAACCCTATCATCACCATCATTAATTTCCATACATTTGCATTCTTTCTTAACATAGAGGGCTACACCACTGCCTTTCCTGCCTTGCCTATCTCTTTTGAAAAGTCGGTAGCCATCCATCACAGCACTCCAGCTGTGCGAGTCATTTCACCGTGTTTCCATGATGGTGACTATATCATAGCTTTCCGACCACACAATGGCCTCCAACTCCTTCTGTTTATTACCCATGCTGCATGCTCTAATGTATAAACACCTGAACTGGGCCTCCTTTTGAGTGGCAGTAGTCCTAATACCCTCATGACCATACTCGAGTGTTTCTATAGCTACAAACCTCACACCAATCCTCATGTTCATCCTACAAAAGGGTGAGTTGTCCTCCTCCTTCACCAAGACACAAGACTGTGGGATCAGACTAGCACATCCCTCTCCTACAAGCACTGGGACATTATATACAGGCTCCGTTCTAGTGACCCCAGTTACATTCCCACCCCCCTTGTATCTAGTTTAAAGCTCTTTCAGCGAACCTTCCCAACTCCTGTCTTTAGACCTTTTTCCACCGGTGGGAGAAGCTACTCCTATCAGTTGCCAGCAGGCCTCGTCTCATGCAAACAGAGCAGAGCTCAAAAAATTCAAAACCCTGCTGGGCACATCTGTGGAAGATGGTCTGTGGAAGAGTGGGGTTGGAGCCAGGTATTAATCCGTTGGCCCTTCATATTTAGTCCCTCATCATCCCCTGTAACTGGAGGGATAGAGGAGAACACAACTTGTGCTCCCAAACCCCTTACCTTTCGCCTCAAGTCTCTGAAGTCCTTTTTCATAGTCTTTAGGCAAGTTCTTCCTATATTATTGCTGCCTACCTGAAACAACAACAGGGGGTAATAATCTGAGGGTAGAACTTGGGAAGGAAGTTTCTTCCTTACATGTTTAACCCAGACTCCTGGGAGGCAACAAACCTCTCTGTGTAGAGGGACTGGTCTACGTATTGGCCCTTCTGCTCCCTTCAACAGAGAGTCACCAATGACAATGTGTGAGAATCCTTCTTTGTTTTTTTGGTTCAAAGCTTGCTTCCTTGCTTTCTTGTGATAAGACTCTGATTGATTTGTTGAGGAGGCAAGTGATGAGTGCTACCGTGTGACAATTGACATCCCTCTGGGAACATTTGAAAGCCCCTTCCTCCAGAGTTGCTTACCTCCAGAAGAGAGTGCTCAGGAGTGTTTACTGGCAGAAGATCTGGCCTGTGACTAAATAGCTCCAGCCTGATATGGGAAAATTGGGGAATGATACCATCGTGTCCTGTGAAAAACAGGATGCAGATAGGCATCCCTGCTCCCTCTTACCTGCTGGCAAGGTCCGGAAGGTGGGAACAAAGGAATTTCTGCTGAGATCCCAGAGCCAGAAGCTGCCACTCTAAGGAGAGCTGGCTCAACCACTTTGGATTTGAGCTGTCACTCCAAAGACAGCTGACTCGACCACTTTGAAAGCATTGAAAAGGGGCCATCATCACTATGGTCACCATCGTCGTCGTCGTTGTTGTCAACAGAACAACAACGCCCAATGATCCACCACTACTGAAGATCAAAGGCTGAACTACGAACCACGCTGGATCCATGGTGGTGACTATGTCCCTCTTGCTTCCTATAAAGACTCCTTGCTTCCTCTTTCCTATCTTTTCTATCGCCCTCCTTCCCTTTCCCATTACCCTAATTCATAATAGTGTCCGTCCTCCCCTTCCCCATCTCCCTAATTAAGATCTGTAATAAACTGGTCGGACCAACATTTGAACCGTTGCTTCTTAATCTCACACTGGGTATACAGATATTAAAAGAACCTCCTCTTCCACCCATAAATCGGAGTGAGACGCAATGACCCGTCATTTTTTCTTTGCCGACAAGGTTTTAATGCTAAGTGAGGTCTGGTTAGACTTTAACACCACCACAGGGAAGAACCATCATCACAACCATTGTCCAGTTGTCCCTACAGAGCACTGTACCTGTTCCACAGGGACAGCTGGGGAGGCAGGGGAATCTCTGGGAAGGTGTGCCTGCCTTGCCAAGCAGGGGCCTTTTACCACTGCCCCACACCCCCTGATTCTTTGCTGTTGTTGCCAGGGGGAGGAGAGGACAGGGTGTTAATGGCAGCAGGAACACTGTCTGCCTGCTGGTTCCCCTCTATCACCTGTTTGCAAGATGGCAGGGGGTGACGCAGGCTGCCCAGGGAGGTTGTGGAGTCTCCTTCTCTGGAGATATTCAAGACCCACCTGGACGCCTACCTGTGTGACCTGGTATAGGGAACCTGCTTTGGCAGGGGGGTTGGATTCGATGATCTCTGGAGGTCCCTTCCAACCCCTACGATTCTGTGATTCTGTGATTCTGTGACGTGCTCCATGCGGAGCCTCAGCTCTCTGCCAAGATCTCGGGGTCGATAGGGTTTGGCCCCACCAATCAGTTTCCCTCTCACATTCCTTTATGCTCCTCAGCCTCTCCACCTCCTTCAGGTCAACCTTAAGGCTTAGTAAGTCATTTAACTGGCTGCATCTTACAAAAGTGCTGTCTCCCTCACTTAGCACTTCAAAGGCCAGGCTCTGGCACTCACTACAGCCAGAGACTATCACCATTACTGTGAAGTGCATATTGGTTCAGAACTTCCTATGCTCAAGTTTATGGCTATTTCCACTTGTCCTGTCCACAGACTGCTCAAAAGAGGTTGTCCATGTCTCTTTGACTTCCACATTTAAGATATTCATAAACATTAAGCAGATCCCCTCTGAATCTTCTTTTCTCAAGGCTGAACAGATTCAGTTTGCTCTGCCTTTCCTCATAGGGGAGGTGCTGCAGGCCTTTTATCATCTTTGTGTCCAACTGGGATGTACTGGAGATCCCACAACTGGATACAGTACTCCAGGTGAGGCCTGACCAGGGCAGAGTAGAAGGGAAGGATGACCTCCCTTGACCTGCTGCTTTTAATGCACCCCAAGATCCCATTGCCCTTGTTGGCCACCAGAGCACACTGCTGGCTCATGGCCAACCTGTCATCCACCAGGACCCGCAGGTCATTCTCCACAGAGCTCCTCTCCAGCAGGTCATGTCCCAGCCTGTACTGATACTTGTGGTTATTCCTTCCCAGGTGCAAGACTTTGGACTTTCATTAAACCTCATCTGTTTTATTGCTGCCTGGCTCTCCAGTCTGTCCAGTACTTGTTGAATGGCAGCACAGCCTTCCAGTGTGTCAGCCAATCCTCCAAGCTTTGTATCATCAGAATACTTATTGAGGGTGGAAACTATCCCCTCATAAAGGTCATAGATGAAAATATTGATCAAGACTGGACCCAGCACCTACACCGGGTGAACACCTCTTATTACAGGTCTCCAACCATACCCTGCTTCACCAATCACAGTCTTCTGAACTCAGCCAGTCAACCAGTTTTCAACCCACCTCACCGTCCAACTCATCCAGTTTATTTCCCCTGCTACCCACATTTGTACACACTTAAGGAAAGCAGCAGGTGCAGTTACTCCCAGAGGGACACAAGAAGATTTTGGACAGGGTATTGTCAACATGGGCTTTTCTGAGGAGTCCTCGCATGATCCTATGGGAAAACTCAGAGGTTTTTCCCTGTAATCTCCAACAGTGACAACACCCCTCAGCCCTTCTCTGTCACATCTAACTCCCCTCCCCTTCCCCTTTGGACCTAATTTAAAAGTAATCAGTCCATAGAGTTTGCTTCCCAGAACACTTGTGCAACCCTTCACAGAAGCGCAGAATCACAGAATGGCCAGGGTTGAAAGGGACCTCAAGGATCATGAATCTCCAATCCCTCTGCCATATGCAGAGCCACCAACTTTCACATTCAATACTAGACCAGGCTGCCCAGGGCCCCATCTAACCTGGCCTTGAACACCTCCAGGGATGGAGCATCCACAACCTCTCCGGGCAGCCTGTTCCAGCACCTCACAACTTTCTTTGTAAAGGACTGACATCCAACCTAAATCTTCCTTCCCTCAACTTAAAACCATTTCCCCTTGTCCTGCTGTTATCTATCCTTTCAGAGAGTTGATTCCCCTCCTGTTTGTAGGCTCCCTTTAGGTACTGAAAGGCTGCAATGAGGTCACCCTGCAGCCTTCTTTTCTCCAGGCTGAACAAGCCCAGCTCCCTCAGCCTTTCCTCGTAGGACTGGCTCTGTTGGAGCCCCTTGCACAGTCGGAGTCCATCAAGAGCCCACATACCACTCCCTACTTCATGCTTTTGCTGTACATTGTAAACTCTACCACTGAAATTAGTATCTTAAATTTATGACACATTTCTTATTCTATGTGTTGCCAAATAACATCAGTTTCTTGAATTTATGTTGGAATTTCAGTAACAAAAAATCATCCATCTTATTAAAAAGAAAACAAAATAAAAATGCATAAAAGAAAAATCAACATTAACAACAGAAAACAAAAACAAAAACACCAAAACAGCATAGAAACAAAATACATGGAAACATATAAAGCAATAACAATCTTTGGCAATTATAGCTAATAGCAAATAACAACATAGTTATAAAAAAGAAAAAAAAAAAAAAAAAGAACGTAACTGTCCCATCTGATGCTGCAACTGGGGTGTACAATTTTATTTTATTTTTTTTCACTGAGGAAACTGAAATATTCTTTTTTCAAATATTTTAATACTTATTTCTAATCTTAACCAATGCTGAGTTATTTTATTTATGCATACATATATAGTTTTAATGTAAATTTTATTCTGAAATTCTTTACTCTATGTTTGTCTTAACATTTGGGAATGAAAATAATATTGTTTTTGACTTTTTTTTTTTTTTTTTTTTTTGGCATGAGCATAATATTTTCGTATCGATAATGTGTAAAAAGGAGATTTAAACAAATGCAATCTATGCATTAATTTTCTGTGGATTGGATGGATGCTACTCTGAAGAAGCATTTTTTTTCCACAGGAGTAGGAAGTAGAATGAAAACATGAGATTCTAAACGTTAACTGGAGAAATACTATCTTTTGAGAATCCTTACAGCATTCATAGTGTAGGACAGCTTTTGTGCTATTTCCACATTAGAAATGCTTATTAAAAAGAAAAATAAAATTATTCTAGTGTGAAAGAGAATAAAGCTGAAAGCTAATGTATTTATAATAATATTTCACATTTCATTCACATTAGCATGTACCATGTCCTATGCATAGACACAAATCGCAGACCTCCTGGGAATTTGTTCATTGTGATTATGCTATTAATTTTTGCTTTGTATAACTGCTGTACAATGAAAGCTGACTTAGAAACTGATGAGAAGACTGAAAAAAACAACTATGAATGTAGGAAATTCTCTCGTTTAATCCCCATTGACTATGTAGCCAAGGGACAGGAAGGATTTTAATCTATTTGCACTTCTCATTACATCTTTGCATTTAATACATGGATTTATAATTAGAAGATAACTCCCAGAGAAAGATGACAGACTTACTGTGTGTGCTTAATGCTGTTTAGCAATTTCTTGCACATCTGACAGAAGAAGCGATAGTGGCATCAATTGAAGTAATACATAGGTCAGTAACATATAAGGAGAAAAAATTAAATTTTTCAAATTGAGTGCTACAGAAACGTCAGAACAATATAAATGGGGCCTAGGAAGACATCTATTACATTTTTTGTATTTTTCAGCTTTTTAAATTCTTTTTTCAGCTTTTACATTTTATGTTTTTTCAGCTTCTTACTTGGAAGAGTAAATGGTTGTTCCATAACAAATCTTTTAGCTCCATCAGTCCTAATGTATTATAAAAAATAAAGTTTGAAATCTCACATGGGCTCCCTTTGGATAAGTAATCTGCTCCAAAAAAAAAAAGAGTTCTT